TATGGGTCTTGTTCTTGTATCCATTCAGCTAGTCTATGTCTTTTGGTTGGAGCAGTTAATCCATTTACATTTAAGGTAATTATCTATATGTATGTTTCCTATTACCATTTTCTTAATTGTTTTGGGTTTGTTATTGTAGGTCTTTTCCTCCTCTTGTGTTTCCTGAATAGAGAAGGTCGTTTAGCATTTGTTGTGAAGCTGGTTTGGTGGTGCTGAATTCTCTTAGCTTTTGCTTGTCTGTAAAGGTTTTAATTTCTCTGTCAAATCTGTATGAGATCTTTGCTGGGTACAGTAATCTTGGTTGTAGTTTTTTCCCTCTCATCACTTTAAATATGTCCTGCCACTCCCTTCTGGCTTGTAGAGTTTCTGCCGAAAGATCAGCTGTTAACCTTGTGGGGATTCCCTTGTGTGTTATTTGTTGCTTTTCCCTTGCTGCTTTAAATGTTTTTTCTTTGTATTTAAATTTTGATAGCTTGATTAATATGTGTCTTGGCATGTTTCTCCTTGGATTTATCCTGTATGGGACTCTCTGCACTTCCTGGACTTGATTGACTCTTTCCTTTCCCATATTAGGGAAGTTTTCAACTATAATCTCTTAAATATTTTCTCAATCCCTTTCTTTTTTTCTTCTTCTTCTGGAACGCCTATAATTTGAATGTTGGTGCATTTAATGTTGTCCCAGAGGTCTCTGAGACTTCCTCAATTCTTTCCATTCTTTTTTCTTTATTCTGCTATGTGGCTGTTATTTCCACTATTTTATCTTCTAGGTCATTTATCTGTTCTTCTGCCTCAGTTATTCTGCTATTGATTCCCTCTAGAGAATTTTTAATTTCATTTATTGTGTTTTTCTTCATTGTTTGTTTGCTCTTTAGTTCTTCTAGGTCCTTGTTAAATTTTTCTTATATTTTCTCCATTTTATGTCCAAGATTTTGGATCATCTTTACTATCATTAGTCTGAATTCTATTTCAGGTAGACTGCCAATTTCCTCTTCATTTGTTTGTTCTGGTGTGTTTTTACCTTGCTCCCTCATCTGCTGCATATTTCTCTGTCTTCTCGTTTTGCGTAACTTACTGTGTTTGGGGTCTCCGTTTTGCAGGCTGGAGGTTCATATTTCCCATTGTTTTTGGTGTCTGCCCCCAGTGACGAAGGTTGGTTCAGTGGGTTATCTAGGCTTCCTGTGGAGGGGACTGGAGCCTGTGTTCTGGTGGATGAGACTGGATCTTGTCTTTCTTGTGGGCAGGATCATGTCCAGTGGTGTGTTTTGGGGTGTCTGTGACCTTTTTATATTTTAGGCAGCCTCTCTGCTAATGGATGAGGTTGTCTTCCTGTGTTGCTAATTGTTTGGCATCGGGTGTCCAGCGGTGGAGTTTGCTGGTCGTTGAGTGGATCCAGCTCTTAGCGTTAAGATGGAGCTCTCTGGGAGAGCTTTTGTTATTTGATATCATGTGCAGCCGGGAGATCTCTTTTCGTCCCACCTCAGAGGCACAGGCCTGACACCTGGCCGGAGCACGAAGACCCTGTCAGCCACAAAGATGAGAAGAAAAGGGAGGGAGAGTGAGAGAGAGAGAGAGAGGCAGAGAGAGAGAGAGAGAGAGAGAGAGAGAGAGACAGAGGGAGAGAGAGAGAGAGAGAGAAAGAAAAGAAAGTTATTAAAATTAAAAAATTTTTTAAATTATTAAACATAAAAAAATTAGTGTAATAAGAAAAAGAGAGAAGAGAGCAATGAAACCAGAAAACAAATCCACCAATGATAATTAACGCTAAAAACAATACTAAAAAAAAAAAAAAAGACAGACAGAACCCTAGGACAGATGTTAAAAGCAAAGCTATACAGACAAAATCACACAAAGAAGCATACACATACACACTCACAAGAAAGAGAAAAAGAAAAAATATATATATATATATAAAAGGAAGAGAGCAGCCAAATCAATAAACAAATCTACCAATGATAATAAACTCTAAATACTAAACTAAGATAAACATAAGACCTGAAACAAATTAGATGCACACAGCAAACCCCATGTCTACATTTGCTCCGAAAGTCCACTGCCTCAATTTTGGGATGATTCATTGTCTATTCAGCTATTCCAGTGATGCGGAGTACATCAGGTGGATTGTGGAGATTTAATGCACTGCTCCTGAGGCTGCTGGGAGAAATATCCCTTTCTCTTCTTTGTTCGCACAGCTCCTGGGGTTCAGCTTTGAATTTGGCCCTGCCTTTGCATGTATGTCACCTGAGGGCATCTGTTCTTCGCTCAGACAGGCTGGCATTAAAGGAGCAGCTGATTAGGCGGCTCTGGCTCCCTCAGGCCAGGGGGAGGGAGGGGGGGGGTACGGAATGCGGGGCCAGCCTCTGCCGACAGAGGCTGGCGTGATTTTGCGACAGCCTGTGGCGTACCGTGTGTCCTCCCAGGGAAGTTGTCCCTGGATCACGGGACCCTGGATCACGGGACCCTGACAGTGGCAGGCTGCACAGGCTCCCAGAAGGAGAGGTGTGGATAGTGACCTGTGACTGCACACAGGCTTCTTGGCAGCTGTAGCAACAGCCTTAGCCTTTCATGCCCGTCTCTGGGGTCCGCGCTGACAGCCGCGGCTCGCGCCTGTCTCTGGAGCTCATTTTTGCAGTGCTCTGAATCCCCTCTCCTCGCGCACCCCAAAACAATGGTCTCTTGCCTCTTAGGCAGTTCCAGACTTTTTCCTGATTCCCTCCCGGCTAGCTGTGGCGCACTAGCCCCCTTCAGGCTGTGTTCACGCAGCCAACCCCAGTCCTCTCCCTGCACTGTGACCAAAGCCCAAGCCTCAGCTCCCAGCCCCGCCCGCTCCGGCGGGTAAGCAGACAAGCCTCCCGGGCTGGTGAGTGCTGGTTGGCACCTATCCTCTGTACAGGAATCTCTCCACTTTGCCCTCTGCACCCCTGTTGCTGCACACTCCTTTGTGGCTCCAGCATTTCCCCGCCACCTGCCAACCCCTCTCTCTGCCAGTGAACGGGCTTCCTAGTGTGTGGAAACCTTTTCTCCTTCACAGCTCCCTCCCACTGGTGCAGGTCCCGTCTCTATTCTTTTGTCTCTGTTTATTCTTTTTTCTTTTGCCCTACTCAGGTACGTGGGGAGTTTCTTGACTTTTGGGAGGTCTGAGGACTTCTGCCAGCATTCAGTAGGTGTTCTTTAGGAGTTGTTCCACATGTAGATGTATTTCTGATGTATTTGTGGAGAGGAAGGTGATCTCCACAACTTACTCCTCCGCCATGTTGAAGGTCTCCAAGAAATTTTTTAAAAGAGATGGAATCTGCCAGAGTTGGCAATTTGGGTGATATGGTGTATACAGAAAAAAGAAGGGGAAAGAAGGATACTGTGGTTTCTTGTATGAACTTTGAGTAAATGTAGTTATGAACATTACCATTCACGTGGAGAGGGAACGTGAGAGAAAATGGAGGAAGAAGTGGAGAGGAAACAGAAGAACAAGCAAGAAGACAAAATGGCAAATAGTATCATTTCAGAAATGCTACAATTTCAATGATTAAATAAGTGTTTAAAATGGTTTTGAAGAACCTACGGGCAGGACAGGAATAAAGACACAGACATAGAGAATGGACTTGAGGACATGGGAAGGGTAAGCTGGGACGAAGTGAGAGAGTGGCATGGACATATATATACTACCAAATGTAAAATAGATACCTAGTGGGAAGCAGCCACATAGCACAGGGAGATCAGCTGGGTGCTTTGTGACCACCTACAGGGGTGGGTTAGGGAGGATGGGAGGGAGATGCAAGAGGGAGGAGATATGGGGATATATGTATACATATAACTGATTCACTTTGTTATAAAGCAGAAACTAACACACCATTGTAAAGCAATTATACTCCAATAAAGAGTTAAAAAAAGAGTTAAAAAAAATAAATAAGTGTTTGAAAAATTCATAGACCCTCCCCCTGCCATCTCTATTCTATTTTATGCACCAAATACACTGTGATGGATTTGCCATCTCTTCTGGGTCAGCAAAGTCTAATTGATGACATGGTAAAGCAGACCATGAATGACAAACAACAGGAGGCTCAGCACAGTTCTCCCTTCAGTTTCTTAAACTTGTGCTACTTTGAATCTGACCAGAGCCAGTTCCCCCACTGTTTATTGCCAGTAAGTGAGGTTAAGAGTAGTTTCTAATCTTACAGTTAGGAAAGCAGTGTATGTATGTGGAGGCCTGGTACACACTTGGATTCCTATGATGGGAATCTGAATATATTTTACCAGAAAGATAATTCTCTGCAGTGATTATTTCTATAGTATCATTAAGACATTCCTTTGTATACATTATAGATTTAATAACCTGTTAATATCTGATCAAGGAACCTAACCACTCTTATCTGGAACTTGGAAAATGCCACTTTAAAAATCTAGTTAGAAAATAATTTATGAACACTAATTGGAAGTTACTAATGTGAAGTTTGAAAGTTTTGATACAATGGGTCTGTTTTAAGAGCATCAGAGTAAATCATGCTACTCGAATTCATGTTAAGGATATTATACTCAGAATTGCTCTTTACCTTTTAGCTTGTGAGCACTTTAATTTCTGATTTTTTTTTTTTGGCTACATCTTTAGAAATTCATGTTATAGTTAATGTGGAAAAAATATTGTATATAGCTCTCTCCCTTCCTATACCAAATTTGAAGGTTCTAAGGAGAGGGCTTTAAATGTTTTAATCCCCTAATTGTCCAAAAGGCCTGAAGCTTCTTAAAGCTTACTGAAGAGTTGAATTCTGCTGTAACTTTGTTTTCTGTAATTAAAGTTGAGAAAAACTAGAAACAAGCCTACATTTAGCATTAGTCAAATGACTGTCTTGATATTCAAGTAGCACACTGATATTTTGATATTGGCTTATTTTTCCCATGTTTAAGGCTCCTTGAATTGTCAAATAAAAATGACTTCTGAAGTCTTAGGACATTTTTAGGTCCTACTGTGAACAAGCAATATAGGCGTTTTCTTCTGAATTTTATTTCAGATATCTCTACCGCAGGACCTCTTGGCACGGGAAGCACCACCACCAGTACCACCCTTCGGACCACAACTTGGAACCCGGGCAGGAGTACCACCCCATCGGTGTCAGGAAGAAGAAACCGGAATACCAGCACCCCATCTCCAGCAGCTGAGGTACTTGACGACATTACCACACACCTTCTGTCAGGATCGTCCCAAATTCCAGCTCTGGAAGAGAGCTGTGAAGCTGTGGAAGCTCGAGAAATCATGTGGTTTAAGACCCGTCAAGGACAGATGGCAAAGCAGCCGTGCCCTGCAGGAACTATAGGTAAGTCTGTCCTACAAAGCTGAGCTAAAAGTGTATTGTTACTTTGGCTTGCTTTCCTAGTTTTTTTTTTTTTTTTTTTTTTGGGGGTCACAACATTGTTTTGTTACTTAACATTTGATTAAATTCTGGACTCAGCTAAATTACAATTTATAGCCAAGTATTTTCAGAGTTTGAGAATGCAACCTGAAGAAGTCACAGGTGAGAATTTGGTGGGAATACCCGTGAGATCAATAGTTTTCACCCATGCTGTGAGGTCAAGTTACAATTAAGCTATGGATGTCCCAGCTACTCCAAAGGGCCAGCTCACCTATGCAACAGCCCAGAGTGAATCACTGGATTGGTGGGAGCTAGTTCTCATGCTTGTCACCAATTGTCAAATGTTTATTGCAGAAAACTAGATCAAGGACTTCTGTATTAGATGATCATTGAAACTACCTAACATTTAACAAAAGAGAATATTTGACTATCCTTTATTACCAGTCATCATAGCTGTCCTTTAATAGTTGGAGCCTCTTGACATACATAGTCAGGGATGATGCTGGCAGGAGCCAACCTCCTCTTACACAGCATCCACTAGAGAGATCAATCCTGCATTGTCTTCTCTAGGAGGTAGTCAAGAACTAGACAGCTCTCTGCCCCCCCCACGCTGATGTGATTCATAATATCACCAAATGGTAACCATATTATTATTTACCATTTTAAGCCAGAAATAGTTTGATTTCTTATTGTTACAGATATTGATCTTCATAAAACTAATACTTGACACCCTGCATAAAATTTGCATTATTGCATAAAATGTGTAAATAAAACAAATGCATAATAGACGTCACTAGACTAGCATTGTTGGGGGCTGTGATTTTGGGTGTTATTGATTTGGTTACTTCAATAGGTTTGTCTTAACAAAGTTTCAATGTGGAAATGTCCTTCTGAATTCCATGGTATATGAAGTGGTGGGAAGATAAGAAGATATATAAAAGTGCACATTTAATTTGTTTTCATCGAAGTGTTTAAAAATATTCTGAGATCTTCCTTCCCTTTATGAAGGGGCACAATATTTAGTTCCAGAGTTTTCTGTGGTATTGGAATCAGAAAACATTTTGAACTTTTCTCTTAGCACTGTCCCCTTGGTTCTGGACCTCAGTTCCTTTATCTCTAAAAGAGAAATAACAACAGCCCCCCTTTCTTCAGATGTTTGTTGTAGAGGTTAGTGAAATACTTTATTTGAAAGCAGTTTGCAGACTGCAAAGGCACTACAGAAATATGTTGTTCTTGTTCTGTGAAAATTGAGAAAGGGATTTACAGGAAACCTTCTGAAGCCCTCCTCCCAGGTGACTGCTTACTCTGCGGTCTTCTTTTTACCCTTTCTCTGTCCCCTCTGCTGTGCCCCCTGTTCAAGGCCCACACAGTCTTTTCTCACCTGAATTATTGCAATAGCTTCCTCACAACTTCCATATCACTCCCTGAAATTCATCCTCCATGCTCCTGCCACAGTTATCTTTCTACAGCCTAAATCAGCCCATTTGTCTCCTCTCCGTAATGGTCTTCATTGATTTTCCATCACCTACAGATGACAGACAAGGGCGTTTATGATCTGGCTCTGCCAGCCGTTCCAACTCCATTAAATACAACTCCCTTACCCAGTAGACCTCAATTCAAAACACTTGATGATTCCCAAAGACAGCATATTTTTCCTTTGCCTGGAATGCCCTTACCCACCTTGTTTTCCTGAAAAACCTGCAAACTGATTCCTTTAAGACTCAACCGCTACCTTGCCTCTGAAAACTCAAGCAGTAAGCCCCATGGAGTCAGGTACCACATTCATCTAATTCATGAAGTTATTCCCTGTACCTGGTATAGTTGTCAGCAAATGCTTTAAAAACATTGAGTGTTTGTTGTATTATGTTTCTCTAATGCCAGTTGCTTGCTAGGCACTGTACATGGTGTTTTAATAGACATTACCTCAGTTTAATGATAATAGTCTTACCTTTGCTCATATTTGAACATATTATGGATATAAAATCATTATAAGAAAGATGGTTTGAACATTTGAAACAGACCTATTTCTCTCATTATTTTAGGAGTATCAACTTATCTATGCCTGGCTCCTGATGGAATCTGGGATCCCCAAGGACCAGACCTTAGCAACTGTTCTTCTCCTTGGGTCAGCCATATAACACAGAAGGTAAATCGTGTCACTGACAAGGAAGGCTTTGCCAGATCTAGATCCTCTGTTGTTGATTATAACTGCTGAAAACAAAATAGTCAATAATTTTTAAATTAATGTGGAAAAAATTCTCCATTTTATTTTAATTTAAGATTTAATGACAAGCCTAATATGCTATGAGCTAATTCTAGAATTTTGTTGTTCTTAAAGGGTAAATCCATGTACTTCCTCTAAGCCAGGCAGTATTGCTTATGATAATTTTATTATTAATAAAATTTTTATGGTATTGTGAACTACAGATATAAAAGTCCAAGAGGTATTATAAATCAAGCAAGCAAAAGCTTCTAGCATATATACATATGGATTTTCCTGTGGAAATAATAATTACCAAAAAAAAAAAAGTCTACCTTTGGAATCTTAATCCATTTGATAAATGTTCTGTAATCTAATCATTTATCAGTGTTAAAAGTATACACATGTGTGACAGAATCTTGCAGACTCAAATTTGCAGGGCTTATTTGGTTGCAATATGTTGAACATTTTTATTATTAATGCACTGTGGGGCTTTGAATTGATTTCATTGCAAACAGAGACCAGATGTGCATTTATGCCAAAAGGGCTATGGGATGAATCCTTATTATAGCAATTTGTGTGGATTTATGCACTCTTAAAATGGAGAGTCCTTCTATGTTACATTAGCTATGCTGAGGAATTTCTGAAAGAGATTTTTCCTGAGAAGTATTACAAATGATGGCCTTACTAAAAGCCTCTCTGTGCCATTTGCTCTTTTCTCTATTTGTTTTTAACCAGGCTTATCCTCAATAATATGCTGTTCAATAATCCATAAATATCTACCCAGTAGATTCTTTAGCAGATGAGCCATAACCATCTATTTACCCTAAATCATGGAAGAACAGTGGTTATATTGACTACAGTTACCCTCTTACATGTGCATCTCCATACTTGTTGCTATTCATAATGATGCTTCTCCAATTTCAGTACTGTTCCTGCCACAGTTTTTATGTCCTTTGATTTTATTACAATGTAGCTCAGACCCCAGGGCAAGTAACTCTTCCTGGATGTGATCAGATTAAAAGATCAGTAGCATATCTCCTTACATTAGCGACTTTTAAAAAATATTCCCTACATACTAAGCCCGGGGGTTAATATTAATTCAGTAATAATTCACCTAGAAAGTGAGTGTTTTCGTGATAATTCCTGAATGTGGTTGGCCTATTTCATTGCAGAAATTACTGGTGACTTTAACTGATAATGATACTTAATTCTTTTCTTTCCTCTGCAGACCTGCTAATCTTGTGACAAAAGGCACAATTCCTTGCAAAGAGCAGACAGCTCTTGCCCATTTGATTTAGGGATGGAATGTTTTTGTTTTATAGCAAGTATGTTCCATTCTTTTGGAGCATTTCTGTGTAATCCTGTAGCACCTGTAAAATTATGTTGTATTATAATTATATTAAGATTATTCAATTTAGAGAGTTGGAATTTATAATAATACCTTAGCTTGATTACTTATAAATTTATAGAATTGTCAAAAGTATAAGAGGAGGTTTTTGAGCCCTGTGAATTGGCTTATGTAACTATTGCCAGGTCAGTGCTGGAGCTGGTGTTTAGCTGGGTCTACCTTTATCAACATGTCACATTTAGCCACAACACTGGCTACACTGTGAATAGATCATGATGGCCTTTATATCCCACACCCACTTACCTAGTCTCTCTTCACTTCTCTCCACTCTTTTACTTATACCTCCAACTATTTTGCTATTCATTAAACATAAATGATAGTTGAACAGGTTACCACAAAACTCTAACACTTTTAACTATTCACATCGTAAGCTTCTGAGAGAGAATTTGTATGCACTGTCCACAGAGTTATTTGTCCCTATTTTCTCTCCCTCCTCCCCAAAGCATCTTCCACAGAATTCAACCCTTTGCTCATTTACTCCCTCAGGACCTGAGTCCCAAAAACAAACAGATGGAACCTTTGAAGAGGGTTTGTTTACAGTGGCATTTGTGGGAGCAGAGGTGAACTGCAAGGGTTTGAGAGGAACCCAGAGCTAGTAACAGGGATGGAGCTGTTCCCAACCCCAGGCCTCTGGTTGCCAGATCAATGGAATGACGGAAAATTGGTAACAGGGTATCCTTGAGAGGCAAGATGACCTATATAGACAAGAGACACAACCTAGCCGCAGGCAACTCTTCAGAAAAGATCTAGGGGAATAAATACTCTGATCTCCCCCACTCACCTCTTCCAGCCTCCTCACCTGCCCAGCCTCACCACTGGCCAAACCCAAACAAAAGCCAGAGAAGAGGGGTGCTCTTACTAACATCATGTAAGTCCACCTCCTAGGGCAGAGAGAAGGATGGAGGAGGATGGAAAGAGGCCTTCCTTGAATTAGCAAATGGAAATTAACCAGCAGAGTTCACAGTTTTTGCTTCCCTTCTCTCACCCCTCCTCCCTTTCCCTTGTTCCATCCTCCTTCCTCTGTTCTGACCTCCCTGCTTTTCTTTAATTTGTTTGTTAATGCCAGTGTGAAAAAGTAAAAGTGAAATAGGTATCCGGAATGATTTGTTCCTTCCCTCCTCTGCTCATTGTGGTTCAGACTTTTAAAATAGAGTAACGCTTGTTACCCGCAATAAAAGCATAGATGAAAAAAGAAAAGAAGGGGCGATTCTCTCATTTAAACAGTGTATTCAGTTTTCCCTCTGCAAGTTTGTGGGTGAACGTACCTTGGAACATGAGGCCCATCTCTTATGGCTTTATAGTGCCTGTGGGAAATTCCTGAGGGCTTTAAAGAAAAGACTACCCTGGATCGCAGTCACTGCATCTTTCCCATGGGAGGATCTTTCATTTTGTTATTGGTACTATTCACACACTGTATGTCAGGCACCACTGTAGACAGCAAGTATACACAAATAAGTGGATCAGGATGCTTACTCTAGTTGGAAAAAGCAAACCTTAAATTTTCATTTTCATTAAGAAATGAGTAATGTTTTTTTCCCCTACAGTCAGGCCAGGAGAGAGAAAGCAAGCAGAGAATCTTGATGGTTTCTGACTCACTAATGTATTTAGGCCCCTTACATACTGGTGAAATTATAGATTAAATTTTGAGTGATATTAAAGAATAGATTACATTTCACTAGAGAAAATGTAAGCCTTTAAAGGCAGAAGAAATTTGTTACAAACTGGCCAGAATACTTTCATAATCATGAGATTTAATAATTTGTATAGAAGGTGAAAAGCAAAAGTTGTACAAAAAGGTGCAGTGGTGGAGTGTAGGGAAAGAGAGGGAAAGAGAGATTGGTAGGTGGTTGGGTGGGTGGATGAATGGGTGGACAGAAAGGTAGGTACAAAGATAAACAGATGATTGGCTACAAAGATAGATTAAATAGATAGTGAGACTAGGTACATATGTCTTCGAATTAATGTTTTAAAAATATGTTTCTGGTCATACTGGAAGCCAACAAATTAGTTTAGAGCTCTGCCTTCTCTAACATATGTGGTAAAATATCCTGTTTTCTCACATTTCTTAATGACTGTTTGCTGAGATCATAGTCTCTGGCTTCAGCTTGACCTCTAGCTTGGACTCGTGTTATCAAAAAGGAGTTTATACTTTCTATTTTGCATACCTTTGAAGAATTCATTGCACTTTATAATCCCTCCTGTCTTTTTTTCAGTTGGAAATTGTGAAATTAAAGTTGTGAAGACATTCCGTATTTATTTACATGTAAAGTAAGGTCTGCTTCCTACTTCATTACCTGGTCCAACTATTATATGAAAAAGATATGCCTGAATTGTTACTGGGAAATAGTCTTCTTATTTCTAGCAAACTGAAATATCTTTTCATTTGTTTGCACACAAACTACTGACAGCTTTTGAGATAATGTAAGGTTCTTCCTGCATTTTCTAAAGAAGGATGTGAAGATCTAGAAATGATGTTTCTGTTTTACAGTATAAAATAAGCCGGTGATTTGCTCTGGAAGACTGGTTGAATCCTGTCACCCAGATCTTAATTTCTCCATTCTTTTAGCCTCTGTAGATCTACTATGGAATGAAAGTAAATTGCTTGTTAATTTGATCAGAGGTTAGTGGAATTTCCACATCTTCAGGCTCATTTGGCCTACATTCAGTTGTAAGCTAGAAGCATTTTATTGTTTATATACTTACTTGACTCAGATTTATAGAAAAAATAGGCAGATCTTTCAAAGAAATGGTAGCTTTGTACTTAAACAATATGAGTAACTTCATCATGAATTGTTTTGACACCTGATTAATGTTTGATATAATAAATCCCATAAAATGTCAAAGCTTATTTCAAAGAAAACTGTTTTTCCTTGTGTCAAAATTTGAAATGCAAATAATATCCATCTCTCTCATAATTATTATCTTTAACTGCAGGGTTTCCCCTCCCCTGTTGAAGCCCTAGGTATAATCTCACCATTTCAATACAGGCATTAATTTACTAATCCTCACAAAACTCATAAGATTTCTCAGTGTGCATGTACTTACTGCTGAGAAATAACTTAAGCAGAATAAAAGAAATGTTAGAGATAGACATTGTAATGATGTCTTTAAGCTAGAATATATGAAGTAACTATTTCAATCCTGCCTCTTTGCACAGAAGACTTGAGGCAGATTCAAGATATGTGTATATTTTTGTATGGAAATAAGATAATAATAACAGTGGTGAGAGAAATAAATAGGACAATCAGAAAGAAGAGTAGCTTCTGGATGCCCGTGGAAAGAATATGGTTAGTGAAGGCCTGGTCTGAGAAGGCAACCTTTGAACTGAGCTTGAACCTTGAGGTCACAGTGACTATGAGAGAGTCCAGTTGATGCCACCACTGCCATTAACAACAAGAAAATTGGAGATGACTCTTGGTGCCTCCCTTTCCTTCCCCTCACACGTCCAATCAGATAATAGGCCTGTCAGGGTACTTGTAAATCTCTCCCACATCAGGCCAGTTGTCACTTTTCTCCACTGCTACTACCCTTAATC